AGCGCTGCGCTCAACCCACTGCACCAGCGGGGAGGCCCCTATTTACTTGGATTTCTTAAACAATATGAAGTATATATAATACATTACAATAGAAATATTATTAAAATTTACATATTAAAAATATATAATATAAATGAACGCATCTAAAAATTCCCTTTATATTCCATTTATTTCTCATATTTCAGTTACTGCCATATACCTGCCTCCAAAAAAATCTCTATAAATGTCTTCCTGAGACCCATAACATGCACCTGTCATCCTTTAAACTTCTGTTTTCCTTCTAGTTCGTCAGTTTATTTTTATCTCATTTTTCATAATGAAGAAAAGGACCAAGCTGGCCACAGACAAAATTCAACAACTCTTTCCACTAACTTGAATTTTTTAAAATTTAAAAAAAAATTTTTTTAAAAGATTTATTTTATTTATACAAGAGTCGGGGTACAGGCCAGAGGTGCAGGAGGGTGAGAGGATTCATCGGAGACATAACGGGGAACAGAAAAGGCAGACTGACGAAATACACTGCTGCGGGGAGCAGCAGGAGAGTCAGGAGAGGTCTGCTCGCCATGTGGGTTGCTCCAAGGCCGGAGGGGATCAAACCGGCACTGCACAGGCTGCGGACAGCTTCACAGCGTGGCGCTCAACCGCATGCGCCACCAGGGAGGCCCTGAATTTTCTTTTAAAGATTTAATTTTTAATGAATACAAAAACTGGGGTACAGGCCAGAGGTGTGGGGGTGAGCGGGTTCACCAGAGACAGAGTGGGGAGCAGAATAGGCAAACTGACTGAAATACACTGCTGAGGGGAGCAGTGGGTGAGACAGGAGTGTTCTACTGCGCCTTTTGGACAGAGGCTGTGAATAGCTTCATAGTGCTGTGCTACCAGGGAGGCCCTCCCCCTAACTTGAATTTTGAGTGGAAGTGTGATGTCCTCCAACATCTCTCTGTCTTCAAAATAGACATTACTAGTGTAGTACTATTTATTATTATGCTACATATAACTTATTATTATAAAATATTATAACATTTATTTAGAACTTCTACAATATTTGGGCAGTGAGATGACTGATTAGACTTGGAGCTGTCATCTGTTGAGCAGCATGCTAAGCACTTCATAGGCATCATTTTATTTAATCTTTCCAAACGCTACAGGCACTGAGTAGTTGGCATTTCAAAGATGGAAGAGACAGACTTATATGAAGACAGTGTGCCTCCTTTTCCCTTCTAAGATTAAAATTAAGAACTTGAGGCAAACAAAACATGTTTAGTTAGAGTGGATCTTCTCACATGGGAACTTGTTTCTAGTCTTTATCTGGTGAGTTCTGAAGGTGTCAGGCTCATAGAAACATGTCACACAAAAGAATGCATATCCGGACCTCCCCTGGTGGAGCAGCAGTTGAGCGCTGGGCTGCAGGTCGACCCGCAGCCTCTGCAGCACCGTTAGATCCCGGCTGCTGGCAAGGGTCCCACATGGCATGACAGACCTCTCCTGCCACTCCCGCTGCTTCCCTTCGCAGTGTATTTCATCAGTCTGCCTGTTCTGTTCCCCGCTCTGGCTCTGGTGAATCCTCTCACCCTCTCGTGCTTCTGACTGTACCCAGTGCTTGTATAAACAAATAAATAAATCTTTAAAAAAAAAAGTATATCCCACTTCTTATTATAGATTTTTAATTCCTGTTGAAAAATTAATATTCATGTTTGCATTACAGTAAGTCAGGGTGGATTTGTTAGATCTTGACCTTATACTTCTGACTGCTGCCATGATCTAATTTAGAAATGTATGATATGTGTGTACTAATCAAAATTTTAATGTTAGCACATAGTCAAACATGAAAGACTATAGCTTGTCTCTAGTTTCCTCACCTTTTCAAATCCAACGTAACAACTATCATTCTATAAGAACATTACATATGTCATTTACTAATAAAGCAAGGTGGTTCAGGACACTAGCAGATCAGGACAGCTAGAAAGGTAACTCCTTGTAGTCTTAGGTGATAATGGCCAAAGTAGCTGATGCTATTTTCCTTGCTGTCCACTTGGGACACCTTCCAACTGTTGTCTGGCCTATGAAGAGTCCTTTGAGATAAATATTCACTTTACTTATCATCAGGAATATACAAATCAAAACACAATGAGATACGACCTCACACCTGTGACCATTGCCCATGTTGAAAAAACCAGAAACAAGAAGTGTTGAGGTTATTGTGGAGAAAAAGGAATCCTTGTCCACTATTGGTGGGCATGTACACTGGTCTAACATCTATGGAACATAATGTGGAGATTTTCAAAACATTAGAAATAACTACACCATATTATCCAGCAATTCCATTCTTAGGTATCTACCCAAAGAATACAAAAACACTAATTAGAGGAGATATAAATATACACTCCTATGTTCACTGTGGCACCATTTACAATAAGCAAAGTATAATGCTCAAGGACAGATGAGTGGATAAAGAAGTCTGATAAATATACACAATGGGATTACTACTCAGCTACAAAAAAGAAAAAGATAAACTCTTGCCATTAGCAACAACATGGATGGAAATGGATGGGATATGCTAATGAGTCAAAAGAAGACAAATAACAGATCATTTCACCCACTTGTGGAACTATAGAGAAAACAAAGAAATAGTCATAAATAAACCAAAACCCTAGAAGTTTTACTATAGAATTGAAGCTACCAGAGTAGGAGTGTGAGGAATGGGTGGCAAAGGAGGAAGGCAGCTCAGTGGAATGTGGTGGAGGATTATGGGTGCTTTGGTCATGGGTGTGGTGTGGTAACATACATTTGAAGAACTGTGAACCTAAACCTCTAAATAATATACATTGTTGTAAGCCAATGTTACCTCAATAAAAAAAAAAATACAATGAAAATAAAGTATATAAAATACTGTAGAATCAAAGTTTTCCCTTTGATTAAATGACTTCCTATGAATTTTTCTTATTTTAATATCAAGTTTTTTAAAGCATGTTTGTTGATTCATGTTGATTGTTATATAATGCCAGTTTTATGTCACTGTTAGCAGACACTTCAAATGGAAAATCAGTTAATTAACTTCAAGTTTTTAAAATTCAACTTATGGAACAGAATTAAAACTTCGGAAAATTCATTCTTCAAAAGTAAAACATCTGTGATTGCTATGAATGTCATTTTATATTCAGTTAAAGAGATTGTATTTAAAATAAAATTATTGCAGTAAATTCTGAATTTAAATTGCCCAGAACACACACGCAAAAATTCTTATTGAGAAAGCCTTTGGCATACAAATATTTTTGGAATTGACTATGTTATGTACATAATTCATAAATGCATCCAAATTGCCTTTGTCATATAAGCTATAGTAGTCAAAATTCACAAATATTGTTATATGTAACAGTTGGATGAACCATACTATGGAAATATTTTGGTAACAAAATGAGAATGAAATATTCCAAGAAAGACTCAAACATAAAAGTACATTTTCTGTTTATTGTCTCTAAATAGAATGTTTCAAATTTTGATTCTTTAAAAATATGCTTTATAAACAAACTTAAATGATCTGCAAATTAAGTGAACTTTTTATGAATAAGATTTACAAAAGTTGGTTGTATTGTGTTAGAAATAATTGAGATATTTAATAAAACAATTCAACAATTGTATTAATAAAATTCGGAATCTGAAGGTTGTAGTTATTAAAAAAATAAATTTTGGGACACAGGAAGATATTTAAATTTATGCCACAAAATCAAGTAGTAACCTCCCTCAAATCAACTGCATTTTAAATATGTATAAATTTAATTTAAAAATTCTATAATGAAGTGTCATTTGATGGCACTCTTATGATTGAATAAACCCACATTTCTAGAGAAATTAAATCAAATTTAAAACACTTTCAATTCAGATTTTGTAAAATCTTCAAAAAAATAAAAAATGGCAAACTTATTTTTTTTAAATGTATGCATTTTCTTTCTTTTTTTTTTTTTTAAAGATTTATTTATTTATTTATACAAGCACTGGGTACCGTCAAAAGTGCGGGAAGGTGAGGAATTCACCAGAGCCAGAGCGGAGAGTAGGCAGAATGACGAAGTACACTGCTGAAGGGAGCAGCGGGCGGCAGGAGAGGTCTGCGCGCCATGGGGGCCCCTTGCCAGCAGCTGGGGATCGAACCGGCGCTGCAGAGGCTAAGGGCAGCTTTGCAGCCCAGCGCTCAACCGCTGCGCCACCTGGGAGGCGCTGGCAAACTTATTTTTTTGCAGTGTGTATTATACAAATATTTGCTGAAAATTGGTATACTGAATAGCCCTAAAGGCAGTACCTGTGTAACTATTACAGCAGAAAATTTACATATTTCAGTATAAATTCAATTTTTGAATGAATTCAAATTTTCATTATAAAAATATTTTCTTAATATATTTTCTGAACTTATTTTTAAATTAAAATTTAATCTACAGTGAAGTAATAATATAATGATATTTAATATGGGTTATTTTATAAATAATTTCATTTTACAAAATAAATTATTTCTAAAATTTACAGTAACCAATGTACAATCTCAAAACTTTGTAATTTCAATTAATATTATTGCTTCTTTTACTGTGAAATTCCTAGATTGAACTATACATGGTTCCCATAATTAAAATCTTGGCATGCTTAGAGAACTCAGATACACTATAAAACACTTGTTGCGTGCTGCCCTGTGTTACAGGAGATTTGAAAAGTTTCTTTGTTATTTAGTAGGATGAGAATGCATTAGGAAGTCAATAAGCTTCCCAAGAGCCAGGTACATGTAAGACCAAGCACCTGTAAGAAGATCCCAAAAAGGAGAGGCTATGCATTGCATTAGGGACCAGGAACACTTACTCCTAGTGTTATTGTTTCCTTCATTTGAAGGGACATATATTAGCACAACACATCTAATGCGCCCCTGCCTCCTTTCTTCTTCCGGTGACATTGACGATCAGTTATCTGATTGGTCAGTTTGGGAAGCGAAATTGATCGGCGTGACCCGCCCCTTCCTTTTCTCTTAAAGAGGAGTTGCCCGCAGGAAGTGTCCATTTTACCCCGCCCGCGTGCGTATGTATAACTGGGACGGAATTGCCCGTTGCCCGCCATCTTCTGTTGGACACTGCCTGTGACGTCGTTGGTAAATATATTTAATTTTCTGCTTCAGTATCAGTAAATCTGCAGAAATAAGCCAGGGTTTTCCTGATACTCTGTAGTGTTATGTGGAAACATTTTGGTTTTCGGGCACTTTTTTCTCTTTTGGTAAAGGAAAAACGTTAACTTGTTCGACTCTTCTCACACTGTAATGTGTAGGGCACAGTGGTAAACAAAACAAAGCAAAACAAAAACGAAAAGGAGGGAAAGTCTGTGTTAATGGAATACTCGTGGAGTAAAACTGGGATACTTATGGGGCTCCCTGGTGGCGCAGGGGGTTGAGCGCAGCGCTGTGAGGCTGTCGGCGGCCTTGGTGGCGCGAGTTCGATCCCCAGCCGGCTTGGGAGCAACCGATATGGCGCAGCAGACCTCTCCAGTCTCCCCCGCTACTCCCCCCGCACCCTCCCACCCTCCCACCGCCTGTACGCCAGCCCCGCAAAAAATAACAACGACTGGTATACTTATACTTATGGCATGGCCAAAGTTTGGAATATTAAGCTTTGAATGTGGTGGACTAGGTACTAATCACCTATTTTCGGAGGTAGTGAATGGCAGTTTTCAAGAGGGAGCATGTAGCAATTTTTTCCAGAGTGGCTGTTTTATAAAAGCTACAAGCCACTTCTGTACGAGCTTTGGGCAGAAAGCAAAGGCAGGTAATTTTGAGGAGTTTCAGCAAGCGAACTCTGACCAGAAGTGCTGAGACATACTTATTAAATGAATCCTGACTAAGTATTTGCTGCTGTTTGACCTCCAAGGGTCGGAAAAATATAAAAAGTAAAAACTAAAGGCACATTTGATGAACGATAGTATCTAAAGGAGCATGTGAAACGGATGTTAGTTCTCTTTAGGTCTCTAGGGGTTTAGGCTTCAGAAGTATCAATTACAACTTCAATTGAGGGATCTTTTGAGAGTTGTTTTCCAGCTGAAAAGAATGGAGTAAGAGAGAAACTCTCCCTAAGTGGGAGGTTTCATCTACTTGACAGTTCTTAAGCAGCTGTGGAAAGAGCCCTGGGGGTATGGGATTGAAAATACCTGCTTACTGGTGATAGGCCCTGCTTTGTAAGATTGAGTCCACTCCCAGCTGTATCAGAGCCAAAAACTGGGGACTTAAGGATGGAATGGAAATGAATAGGTTTTAAAATCGATTGCTGAGGGGAAAATATAGTTCAAATAAAATCTGGTGATCTTGATTGCAGATTTTTAAAATTTTCTGGAATTTAAAAAAAGTGTTATTCTTTGAGAGAGGAAACAGTCTGCTAAGTGTTTTTTGCACTCATATATGATGAGTCCTTAATATCAGAGTTGTGTAATTATATTGATGGAATGTATTCATGGAAATTTTTTGGATTCTATGCAACTCCCAAAACTGACAAAAGGAAATCGGGTTGTTATAGAGCAACCCCGATATTAAACGGGTTCCTGGCTGTGGGTCCTCACCCGCGCGCTTTAAAGGGACTTATGAATACTCTACTACAGACACACGCAAAAGGGTTAATAAAAGGTTTATTTACAAGAGAAAAAGAAATAAGGAAAATGTACAACTCAGGGAGAAAATAGGGAAATAAAGTCTTTAATGCGTCCTACCCGATCCGACGACCTGGAAACCCAAAGTCACTCTCAGAGCTAGACGGACGCCGCGAGCTGGCCGAGGGCCCCAAAATGGAGAGAGCCCCAAAGCCCACATGTCTGCCTTTTGTATCCACCTGGCTGCTTAACCCCACCCTCAGGTCCCAGCCACCTTCCCTTGGGTGGTGATGGGATGTAGAGTTCCCAGTGTCTTTGGCTTTGGCCTGGGGTGGGGGTGGAGTCCACAAAGCCTGTATGGAATTTGCTTTGGGGCAGCCTTTTCCCCCTAACACTGGGGTGGGGGTGGAGTCCACAAAGCCTGTATGGAATTAGCTTTGGGACAGCCTTTTTCCCCTAACAGGGTGACTTGGTGAAGATGAAACCAAGGAAATATTTATGTCCCCTCTTCCTTTAGCTGCCTTTCAATTATGGTTTCTAAGAACAAAATGGTTTGGGGAATAGCTGTTCTAGAATCTTTATTTAAATTTCATGTGTGTGAGGCCATTTTATTAATTATATGTTCTCTTTTAGTATTGTTTTTGAACCACTTATCCAACACTCAAAAACTAATAGTTCAAAACTGAAGTGACATAAGGAAAGTATACATTGACAAATATTCTCTCTCCTGAAGGTTTTACTTCTTTAGTTGTTTATTGAACAACCTGTTCTATATATGCAAATTTTAAGAAGGAAAAGGAAAGAATGAAAATATTTTTATGAACATTGGCCACTGATAAATTATAATCTTAAGCAATAAATAACGAGAACATCTAATTTAATTTTGGTTTTGGGGACAATGAATTCAAAAGAAGAAACAATAGGCCTTGTAGACTTAATCTATGAATGGAAGGAAAGAGTAATTCAGAGGTAGCTTCAAGATGTATAAAAAGAGTGTAAATTTGGAAGGGAAAGTGGCAGATTAATCTTCATGCATATTTCGGTATTGACTAATGACTATATCCAGGGGAAAATCCTATAGACATTGTACATGTTACTGGAATTCTAGGCAAAAGATAAAGTTTTAGTATTCACCATCCTAACGGTGATTGCAGCATAAGAGTAATCTTTTTGAGGCGGAAGGCCAAAGAGTAGATTTTAGCTCGTAGAAAGTTAGGAGAAATAGGTAAATGTCAAAAAACTCACCCAGTATATATTTATGGAAGCCAAAATACAGTGATTTCAGGCTGATGTAGTTAGCTATATCAAATCTTGATGCCATGTGAAAGGAAATGAAGTCTAGCTTAAAGTATTACCCAAAGAAGGACGGGGTGTGTAGTGAGGAGGCCTGAACTCTGATACTCATATATATTTGCATTTTTAAAGATTTATTTATGCATATAAGAGCTGGGGTGCAGGGCAGAGATGGGGGGGTGGGTGTTGGGCGGTTTCACCAGAGATGGAGTGGGGAACAGAACGGGCAGAAACTGCTGAGGGGAGCAGCTGGAGAGGCAGAAGAGGTCTGCTGCGCTATGTGGATTGCTCCTGGCTGGCTGGTGTTCGAACTCGTGCTGCAGAGGCTGCAGATTGCTTCATAGTGCAGTGCTTAACCCCTTGTGCCACCAGGGAGGCCCTATATTTGCATTTTAAACCACTGGCATCTGTCATTGCCCAGTGATTTGTTAATTAGGAATGAACTAGGTATTTAATTTGAGCAGTGGAAAGCGAGGAGGAGGAATGGTGATGGGAGAGCAGTGCTGAGCTGGCATCACTGTGGTTCATCCTGAGGTGTACTTGAGAAAACAGAGTACTTTAGAGTATTTGTGTCTTCTGAGTATAAATTAGGGTCTAAATTATGGGGATCTAAATTATAGTATAAATTATGGGGGGCAGAGTCCTCCTCTGTCTTTTAGTGCGGAAGTCCAAGTATCATCGGTTGAATGGGATTAAAGGTGACACAAAGAACAACTCTTCTAGTACTTAAGAAGGTGTATGCACAGTGTTACATTAGGGAACAGAACCCAGTTGAGCTGGTATTGAATTAACCTTTTTTACATGAGAAGAAAACTGGAGAGATGTCAACTCCTTTTCTTTTTCTAAAGACCTGAGACAAAAGTATTAGGGGAAAACGGGAGAAAGAAGTTGGTGCCTTTATTTTACAAAAGGGCTACCAGTTAATGACAGGGACCCACAGCCTGAGTGACCTGTGTTTCCAGACAGTTGTCCCTGTGTTGACCCTATTTGTTTCTGGTTTTGTTGTCTGTGCCCTTAGGGTGAGGCTGCGGACAGAGGACAATTGTTAAGCCAACCTTGGCCTAGGAGATAAACCTCCACTTGTCATTTTAATGGGTCTACCATTTCACCTTAATTTAATTTTCCTACCTCCAAGAATATATCTTTTTTTGTAAGTTCACAAGCTGACAGAGAGACTGTTTTCCCTATCTCACACAAAGACAGATCATTTGTGCAATGGTAATCAAGATCTTCTGTCTTTGGGTAGCAAAGAAAATGCATTCAACTGTATTTGAAAGAGAAAATTGAAATTCGGCTACAGATGATAAAGCACATTCTCCTTCTCTTTCCTTGCTCCCTGCTCATACCAGCTGACCTGCATTAATAAAAGCAAAAGGTGCCTGTTGCTTGCTGTTGACAAAAAGTACAATATTCAATTGCCCAAAACTGTGTATTAGGTGTGTTGATGTTTGCTCCCATTATAGAGCCTAGTACTTTTAGTTGTTTTTTTTTTTTTTTTTTTTTTTTTTTAAGTCAGTTCTGGCATGGCAAAACAAACGGGAAAATAGTCCCAAGAGGAATGAAGGTTTTCCTACCAGTATTAATAGTAAAGCAAATGCAAGTCTTTCATAAAGTTGATCAAATCTCAGTGTGATTGACCTGCCTATCTGCCTGTTGTAACCCTTTTTACATTATTGCTATCATTGTTTTAGGAACAATGTAGTAGATTTCTTAACATGCTTAACGTTAGCTTCAATTATTTATTACATTTATTAGGTATGCAAGCCATGATATTGCCAGTGGGTCTATTTACTAGTAGCACAACCACCATAATAATAAAATATATGCAGAAATAAAGTAGGTTGGTACCTCTGAGAGAGAGATTTCCATAAACAAAGGGTCTATTGTGGATTTTTCTTTTTTCTTGATCAGACAATCTCATGGGCATGCTTATGTGAGTGAAACCATAGTCAAATATATAGAAATGCAAGAGTAAGGACAAAATTAGAGTTCATACTAATGAATACTCAATAATTCTTTTTAGCTAACCCTATAATAAGAGCCAGCAGCGCAAATCTAGGCAAAATTGTGTATGGTTTGTTTTTGCATGCCTCTAGCTTCCTCTTTGGGTGTCTGATAAAATCCCCATCTCTAGGAGCCTCATCGTTTTCTTTCCCTTCCAGATTTATTTATTCTCAAGAGGACATGGAATTCATTCACACTGAGGTTTAAATAATGAAGGTGTTGCTG